ATTCCCACCGTGTGCGACGCCGTCCAGTCCGCGCCGTGAGTGCACCCTGCCGTCCGTCGCACGGCTTTCACTACAAGTGTTCTAACGACTGCTTGCTGCACATACAGTGGCCAAGTGCATACGGGGAAGAGGACATCGGGGCTCCATTCCATGCTACCACCAGTGACGTTGCGCTCGACGGTCGAGACCACTTGACGTCTTCGAGGCGCACTGATCCTCCGCGCGTGTAACGCTGCAGTAGGGCAAGGGCTTCGGGACATTCGAGTCCGAAAGGCAAACAGCTGGTGGCCTCTTCTCTGCGCCGACCGGCCTCTGCCTCGCACCGCGACGCCGTGGGCATCTCTACGTCCAGCGCCGACGCGGCGGCCACAGCCTCTCCTCGGGTGTACCCCGCGCCTCCCAAGCGTCGCACCCGAGAGGCAGCACCCGAGCCTACGACGAGCGGGTCGACGGCTGTGGCCAAAATTCTGCTGCCGCCACGTGCTGGCAGAGCCACCGTATCGAACAGAGTGACACATGCGTGTCTCTCTCGCCAGCCAAAAGACACCAGTTCGCTCTCACTCCTCATTTCCACTTACCCTGCCGAGCTCGACAAGCATGGTTCGTATTCTCGCTGCTGCTCTTGCCGCCGGTGTCGTCGCCGGCCAGGCCACGACCGCGCCGACTGCCGCCGCCAACAAGTGGACCATGACCACAATCAACTCGGTGCAGGCGCGCGTCGTCTCGGACGCGGCGACGTGGGACGAGACCGCCAAGAAGTTTGGCCTCGTCCTCAAGCAGAACACCAACACGTTCGAGGAGAGATATCGCGCCGCCATGGACACGGTCAACACGGCGTCCGTCGAAGGCGCGCTCTTCTACGTGCAGACCGAGGGCATCAACAAGGCCGACTCGGTCAACTGCATGCGCAAGACCAACATGAGCTACGTCTGGTTCCTCAACGTCACGATCGTGCAGCCGACGTTCGCGATCGCCGAGTACGCCGACAACTCGGGCGTCGTGCCCGAGCGGCGCCGGCATCGCACAAGAAGAGGACAAGAAGAGGATCGTGTGGCAAAGGAGCTCCGTGTATTCGCTCAATGATGGGCTACAGAGCTGGCTACGGAGGTTGGCGTCAAGCTCATCTTTCTAACCGCAGAAATCACTGCGTTGGTTGTGATCCGGATGCCTATCGTCGACGGTTCAATGGTCCGACCGCGTGACTCACACGAGCTTGGGCCTGCGC